TGCCTCGCTCTGCCTCCACCGGCCGTCACGGGTATGTCAATACTTGGCCCAACATGCACAGACCATGTCGAGAGGGGCGCGCTCTGGGGCGGCCCGTCCGAGCTCTTGGCAACGCCAGGTCCCTGCTCCCGGCGGTTAGGCAACCCCACCTGCGCGTTGCCTGGGCTGCCAGGGCTGCCAGGGCTGCCATGGCCCGCTCCCCTTCTTTCCCTCGCGGCACGTCAAGGGAAGGAAAGTGGGGGCTGCTCATCAAATTCGCAGCAATTACATCCTCGAAATCGAGTTACTCGCGAAAGCTGCAATTTCGGCGAGGCCCGACGAGATGAGCCCGTAATTCGTTTACATCGGCGGCGCGGGCGGCGCCCGCCAGACAGCGTCGATAAAAAAGGCGACGGGATACGGCTGCCATGTAAATAGGGGGCCGGGTAAATAAACGACAACAAGCCAAACCGAGGCAAACCGATTCCGCTTCAAAGTCGGGGCCTCCTTGCGCAGCGCACTGCGTTGCGACCGTCGGTCCTCTTTCCAATTCCGCGTCAGCGTTGTCATTCATTTCCCAGGGAGGATTCCGCTTCGAAAAGCGCGAACACCGCCCATGAAAGCGTAAACTTTAGGCTGTAATGAGGCCAACTTCACCCAGAAAAGCGCAAACTTCACACAGGAAAAGCGCAAAATTCACCCAAAAGAGTGGGAACTTCACCCACGAAACGCGCAAAATTCGCCCTGAAAAGCGCAAACTTCACCCACAGAAAAGCGCAAAATTAAACTAGAAGAGCGGGAACTTCACCCACGATTAGCGCAAAATTCACCCAGAAAAGCGGGAACTTCACCCACAAGGAAGTGCGCCCTCCGGCCAACCCGGAAATGGAGTCCTTTTCCCGGAGAGCGACCTCTCGCCGTCGCCCCACTGTGGGACTCGGAGACTACAAAGGTGGCCTAGTCTTGGCGAGGATCACCTGTCCGCTTGGCAGGAGCGAGGCGAGGCCCGGCGGCAGTCCCAGACAGCGAGGCGGCGAGGCAGCCTGATTCCGAGAGTCGTTTTCGTCGCTCTGTCTCTGTCGCACTCCCCATGGGCGCGTACGTTTAGGTGGGAGGGAGACAGAGCGACGAAAACGACTCTCGGAATCAGTCTGCTGTGCAGCACCAGAACCAGGCGGGGACCAGGGGGAGGGGGAAACGAGGAGTGGAGAGATTAGAGGCCCAACCTGGTCTTGCTGCCGAGAGAAATTGAAGTGTAATGGAGTTCTTAGCAGCTCACCCCTGACCTTCAGACCGTTAGGCTCGGCCCCTCGGGCCCAAACGAGTACCGCCTCCAGGGAATCGATGCCAAAACCAGTGGCCAAGAATTTTTTTTCGACCAGAGTCTTTGGCGGATACAGTAGCTTGAGACAAAAGCAATCACAAAGGTACTGTACGGCACGGATTGATGTTCCACGCGAATGCAGTACCCAAGCAGTCACATCGTCGAAAGAATGAATTATTTTTTGCTTGCCTCAGGATCATCCTTATCAGCACCGTAGTAAAACATCAGACGACCAAAAATAAAAGCCAAAATGCCGCCGCATGTGAATTCCTGCCATTCCCGAATCCTAACAAAATAAAGATTAAATAAAAGAAAATGTACACACGTTAGCGTTCGGTGATTACTTTTTTCCCTCGCCTAGCAACCGACGCCGACGCCGACGCCCCTCGTAGAGATGGGCGCATCGTTCCCACGACGAGGCGGCCGCGCCACGCCCCCTGGCAGAGCACTGCGAGGGCCCCGGCCCAGGCCCTGGCCCAGGCCCCGGCCCAGGCCCCGGCCCAGGCCCCGGCCCAGGCCCCGGCCCAGGCACTGGCTCGACGCGCTCTTTCCGCGAACGAGAATGAACCGAGCCGACGGTAGGACAGTGGGCCTGTATACGACAGACAGACAGAAAGCCAGACAGGCTCGAGACAGACAGACAGACAGACAGACAGACAGACAGACAGACAGACAGACTCGAAACAGATAGACTCGAGACAGACGCTCAGACTGTCAGACAAAACACCAACTATTCATAGAAATTTTGCTGAAGTTGTCACATTATTAGTGAAGATGAACTGTTCCTACAAATTTTTACGCGATTTTGCACAAAATTTTGTTTGAATTCGTGTTCAAAAAGTTCATTTGGCAAAACAAATAAAGAACAAACTACAACATCTCGCACAAAACGTGTCCAGACAGATAGACAAACGGCAGGCAGACGCACGCCAAGAAAGACAGACAGACAGACAGTACAGCGCGTCACGCCACGCGAATGGCTTTGCCAGGCTGTGCCAGGCTTTCCAAGCAGGTGGCACACTGTGGTACTGTGGATGCTCACTGTGGTGGCACCGTGTGGGACCCACACTGTGGGGCTCCCCGTCTGTACGGCCGTCGTCGCGCCTCCCGCGTTGCAACCCCGACGACATGCGGTGTCACGCGCCAAACCGGCTGCCGGCCGTGGCGCACAGTGGGCCAGAAGACCGGTGGAGGCGGCCGAAACTCCAGACGCGTTTTGAGCTCCAGAGTCACTAAATGGGACTCGAAGCGAGCGTGTGACCCCACCAATGGATTCTTCGTTCCGAGAGCAATCCGTTGGTGGGGTCACACGTTCAGATCGAGTCCCGTTTAGCGACTCTGGAGCTCAAAACGCGTCTGGAGCTTCGGCCGCCTACACCGGTCTTCTGGCCCACTGTGCGGCGTGGCGCCCTTCGAAACAAACCGCGTCTCCGTTCGCTACAAGTGCGAGCGGCCCTCCGTCCGTCCACCCCTTCCGCCCTTCCGGGACCCAGCCGCGCTGCCGCTTGTGTAAGAGGCACGTGTCTGGAACAGCGCCACGCACCGCAAAGACAAAAAAAATGTGGAGAAAACAAAAAGAAATTTAGAAATAAGCCGAACCTCCCATCGGGCTGATTGGTTTTGCCAAAACGGTCAGCGGGCTGATTTCGAAATTCGTTTTCGTCGGTCCGTTTCTCTTGCGTCTATATGAGACGCACCATGAGTGCGAGAGAGACAGAGCGACGAAAACGACTCCCGAAATCAGTCGACTGGGGCGGCGGCGACCACCCTCCAAACCTCGCATCGCAAACAATATTCAATAAGAGAGGCCTCCTCCCTCGCGCGAGTCGCTGTGGACTGATTCCGAGATTCATTTTCGTCTCTCTCTCTCTCTCTCTCTCTCTCTCTCTCTCTCTCTCTCTCTCACTCACTCACTCACTCACTCACTCACTCACACACACACACACACACACACACCTATACGGCACGCCCCATGAGTGTGAGAGAGACAGAGCAACGAAAGCGACTCTCAGCCTGACGCACTCCAGCAACAAGCACTCCGGCAGGGAGAACGCGACGGGGATGGAGGCAGGCCAGGGCAAGGCCAAGGCCGGCAGACAGTGGCATGGTGAAGAGTCGTCTCTCTCGCACTTCTGGAGCGTCGCGAAGGAGTGCGAGAGAGACAGAGCGACGAAAACGCTCCCCGAGAGGACGCGAGGGGTGGCTGCTGTCCGTCATGTGTCGCGGTAATCCCCCGCCGCGTCACCAACCCCTCCACCCACTGCACACCGCCTTCGTCGCTCCGTCTCCCTCGCACTCGTGTGGCGACCCGTATAGGTGCGAGAGAGACAGAGCGGCGAACCACTCTTGAATCACCGTGCAGACCGATTCGCGAGAACCGTTCCGTCGTTCTGTCTGGGTGGGACAGAGCAGTGACGACTCTACGAAATCACCCGCCTGGCCGACATCGCACAGTGTGGGAGAAGGAAGGGGGCTAAAGGGCGTGGGGGAGGTGAGAAGAAAGAAGAAGAACAAAGAAGAGAAAGGGGTAAGGGGAGAGGGGAAGGAAAGGGAAAAGAAGAGGAGAGGATGCACTAATTGTCTACGGACAATTTAGTACAATCAACTGAAAACAAATTTGTGCACACCAAATGCTTACATACTTTTATTGTCCGTAACTATTGCCATATTTGAGCAACAGGGTGCTCAATTTATTACATAAATCAGGGAGAATATTTCCACACCGTGCTTCAGTATTTATAATATTGTACCTTATTTGTGAACAAATTTGTACATGCCTCATGCACAAATAGGGCAATAGTTAACGGCAACACGCACATAGGCATTCAGCGTGTGCTTTTTGCCAAAACTGGTGACAAAATTGTCACAAAATGGTGGGAAAGGGACAAAGAGGAAGAAAGGGGGTTGGGGCCTGCCACACTTTTGGCGTGAATTAGTGATGGTTGCCCAACACACTGTGATGGCCCCAACGGGTCGATGGCAGGGAAATCGATAAGAGACATGCATCAGTAACAAGGGAAGCCAGGCCTCTGGAGGCGGGGAGGGGGGAAGAAACAGTGGAGTGAGAGAAACTCGCGAATCGCGGAATCTTGGCCCAGGCGTGCACAGTGAAAATTTGACGTTATTTTATGGAGAAAAGCCCCTGGATGACATTACCGTCAGCTCAGTACGTTTTCATCACAAATCGATGAAAATTTTCATCACAGCTCCAGCATGATGCTGCATGGGACACTGCAGTGGCGGATCCAGAGTCGGCCCAACAAAGGGGGGGGGGTCAAAGTAGCACTTTTTGCCTACTCACAAAGTGGTGTTTTTTGCCTACCTTTCAGGCGGATGTCTAGGGGTCCAAAGGGAAAAGGGGGGGGGGAATTGTCCATTTGTCCCCTCCCCCCCTCCCTCTGGATCCGCGCTTGATGGGCGTGGACAATAATGTCATCATCAAGACTGTTGACTTTCTTGTGAAGAAAATCAGCCTTGAGACCGCCATCAAGTATGAGCCAAAATTTTCGCAGTGCGGGAGCATTTTCATGGATGAACCTAATGCTTTTAGAGCGTTGGTCGCGAAAAACGAGAAGAAACAAAGCTGCGGGCTGTCGTCCAGAGACAAATATCGAGTGGCCGTCGGCAGGGCCGGCGCGCGGGGTATTTCCAGCTCTCTACTCCACGCAGCGAGGTGCCACGCCACTGGAACACGTACCTGCAGGGCAACGGAGTAGTTGTAGACGGAGCCGCCTCCGGAATCCTCCTGGCCTTCCAAGTCCACCACCATGTCGGGCGGGAAGAATTGCTGCAACGAAGGGAGAACGTACGGTCAGGAATACATTGCCAAACCGCCAAGCAAGCGTGCCTGAAACCTGTCCAGGTGCTTTCAGCCAGTACAGAATATTAAGTTTGGTATGCGAACGAAGAGAAAATTCGTAAACCACCCAGTGTTCCCTATGTTATTTTCAAGCTAATTTTCTTTGAGTAAGGATGCGCCTCCTGCCCACAGTGGGCTCCGCTCAAAGCGCGTCAGCGAGTTCGACCGCCTCCTGGCCAACTGTCCAGCCGCAGCCATACTCCTCGCCCGAGGGACAGCGCGCTCGGGCCATCACTACCCCGCGGCCCCGGGGCGCGGCGCTACCCCACGCGGCCGCCGAGAGATGGCGCTGGCGGTGCGGCGGCAGCGCGCCACAGGGAAGCCCAGGCGACCGCGCGCGCGCAGGGCAGCGCACCGCAAGCCAGTGCAGTCATGTCTACTCGGGGCAATCAGCGGGCCCGTTCCGCGCAGTGTCTCCGTCTCTCTCGCACCCATGGGGTCTCCCGTTGCGTGCGAGAGAGACAGAGCGGCGAAACTACCGGTCGGAATCCGTCCGCCCGGCCAATCTGGATCCCGGCCATAACAACAACAATGTTGCTCTCGACAAGAAGGCAGCCCCTTCTTCTGGCCGTCTCTCGGCCGGGCAGCCATGGGCGGCATAAAAGTCCGCACCTCGCCACGGTTATTTACGTCGAGCCGCGTTGTGATTTAAAAGCGGACGGCGACACACATAGACAGGGCCGCTACAAACTACTAGAAATACACGCACCGCGGCAAGCACCGGCCCCCATCGCGTTTACAAGCTGTTCGCTTAACTTTTATTTTCCCCCGAGCACCCTCAGCATTAGAAGTAGCTGTGGTAGTAGCAGCAGTGGTAGCAGTAGTGGAAACGCGGTAGTGGAAGCGGTAGTGGAAGCAGCTGGGGTGGTGGTAGTAGCAGCAGCAGCAGTAGTAGTAGTAGTAGTAGTAGTAGTAGTAGTAGTAGTAGTAGTAGTAGTAGTAGTAGTAGTAGTAGTAGTAGTAGTAGTAAAAGATCATAAGCAGCAGCTATAGTCGTAGTAAAAGATCATAAGCAGCAGTAGTAGTAGTAGCAAAAGATCATAAGCAGCAGCAGTGGTAGGAGTAGCGGCAAGAAACAGTAAAAGGAGTAGTAGCAGCAGCAGCAGCCTGAGAAGCGATTCGCGTGGGGCTTCCCCCAGGACGTCGCGCGCGAAATATACGCGACCCGCATGTCCGAGTCATATTTCGCGGTCCCGCTCGTGTGTTCACCGTCATCGTCAGAACAACAACATTAAAAACAACAGTAGACAGCGCGGTCAAAGACCTCTCGTAAAAGCACGGCCCGGCCCCTTTCGGAAAAAGGCGTCTCATTAATCCGATTCCGTCACAACCCCACTGCCGCTGCTGCCCTGCCCCAACCCTCTCGCTTGAGGAAAAGGTGGCAGCCCCACTTTAATCTCGTAACCAGGAGAGAGAGAGAGAGAGAGAGAGAGAGAGAGAGAGAGAGAGAGAGAGAGAGAGAGAGAGAGAGAGAGAGAGAGAGAGAGAGAGAGAGAGAGAGAGAGAGAGAGAGAGTTTGTTTGACCCAAGGCCTCTGTGCCCGCTGAGCCCGCTCGCTGCCACCCCATCTCATTGGCTCGGCGCACCCCCTCGGGGCTGGAGCGGGCTGGAGCGCGCTAGAGTGACCATCTCCCTCCCCGACTAAGTGTCTATTGACAGGCACTCGGGGCGCAACGAAGGGGCGCTCCAGCGGGCCGGGAGGCAGGGAAGACAAAAGGAGGAGGAAAACACGAACGGGCTAAACTATCTTTATCGCGGCAAGGTCGCTTCAATCCCAATGAGCACGCCAACGGGCACTGTACTTTGGCGCCTTCCCGCCGCGACGCCGCGTAGCGCAGCCGAGCGCAACCATTCCCCCTGGGCGGTTCGGCCCGGTCGGCCCGTGTCATTCCGTCGCTCTGTCTCTCTCGCACCTACACGGGGCGCCGCGTGAGTGCGAGAGAGACAGAGCGACGTAAACGACTCTCGGAAATCAGTCTACTCAGTGCGCCCAGGTGGGCCGCCGCTTGGCCGCCGCGCCGCGGAGCGCCCCCCGCGGGGTCAACGCCTGCAGCCCGGGCCTGCAGACTGAGAGTCGCTCTCGTCGCTCTGTCCCTCTCCCACTCATGGGGCGCCCCGTGTAGGTGCGAGAGGGACAGAGCGAACGAGAAAGACACTCGGAATCAGTCTGCAGGGCCTGCCAGAAAAGGTCAACTCTCATTACGCCTAGAGACAGCCTCCAGCCGTCGCCCGCCTCGCCCGCCAGCTGCTCCCAAACTGGCATCCATCACAAAACTTTCCGGCGCGTCCACAACGAAAAAAACAACAAATATCCACCACACAAACACGGGGAAGAGGTCGCCGTTCTAGCGGCACTCGGAGTGAAAGACGAATCAGAATACCGAAAACCACACACGAGATATCGCACATTCACTACAAACCTAACTGTCTACTAAGTACACACTTACAAATGCGTGCTTGCAAGTACGCACTTACAAACGCATGCTTGGCCAAGTACTCACTTACAAATGCATGCTTGCAAGTACACACTTACAAACGCATGCTTGACGCATGGAGTTATACGGCGTCAAGCATGCGTTTGTAAGTGTCTACTTGCAAGCATGCATTTGTAAGTGTGTACTTGGCCAAGCATGCGTTTGTAAGTGTGTACTTGCAAGCACGCATTTGTGTGTACTAAGTAGACAGTTAGGTTTGCAGTGTTCACTGCAGTGTGCATATAGTGACCAGCCACAAAAACATAGCTGCACCAGTCGGGTGTGGCCCACTGCATCTTCTTTCGCAGACCATTCCCGTTCGTTCAGAGAGGGCAGGACAGAGTGCCGGCCTGAACTGGGGCAAGGCCAATTGTAGTCCAGCCTCTCAAGTTCAAGTTCATGCCGGGCGAGTGTGTCACGAGGTGCGGCGGTGCGGCCGCATGCTTCAAAGTGGGCCAGAAAACCAGTGAAAGCGGTCAAAACTCTTGACGCGTTTCGGAGCCCTTGAGTCACTAAATCGGTATACTCCAACCGAGCGTGTCAAACGACCAATGGATTCCTCGTTCGGAGAGCCATCCATTGGTGAGGGTCACACGTTTGGTTCGAGTCACATTTAGCGACTCTAGAGCTCAAAACGCGTTGAGTATTTTTGCCGCCGCCCCTGGTCTTCTGGCCCGATGTGCATTGTGTCCAGCATCATCCCAGCAGTGCTCCCAGCTCCAATATTAGCCCGGTCGACTCCAGCCGCGGGCCGCGCCAAACCAAGGCCCATTGTGCGCCAGCATTGCTTGCAGACAGCCAGCAGACTGATCCCGAGAGTCGTTTTTTGTCGCTCTGTCCCTCTCCCACCCACACGTTACGCCTCACGAGTGCGAGAGGGACAGAGTGACGAAAACAACTCTCGGAGTCCGCCTGCAGGACAGGCACCGTGCAATTCGTACGGAGAACCGCTAGCTCGGGCCTGGAGCAAGACGGAAGGTCGGATCCAGAGACGAATTCTGGAGGGGACGACGTCACAAAGCCTGCCAACTTCGTGGGGAAAAGTGCGACTTTTGGCCTACTTTCAAACCTCCTTCGTCACCTTCAGGGTAGTTTGAACTTGAGTGCCTGGAACACATTTGATCGTCTGCCATTTCGGGCCCGGCACTGACCTGCTTGCACTGCATGGCGTGGCCAGGCCGTCCGTACAAAGGCGCAACTCTCTCTCTCTCTCTCTCTCTCTCTCTCTCTCTCTCTCTCTCTTCTCTCTCTCTTTCTTTCTTTCTCTCTTTCTCTCTTTCTCTCTCTCTCTCTCTCTCTCTCTCTCTTTCTTTCTCTCTTTCTTTCTTTCTCTCTTTCTTTCTTTCTTTCTCTCTCTCTCTCTCTTTCTCTCTCTCTCTCTCTCTCTCTCTCTCTCTCTCTCTCTCTCTCTCTCTCCTGGATTCGGGCCTGTGGCGCACTACGTCGGTCAGACTACGTCACGGCCACGGCCAACCTCTCGGCCGGCACGCAGTCGTAGTGGCACTACCCGAAGGTAGCCCCCGAGCCAGCCGAGCCGAACAGGCTAGTGACCCCGCGCCCCTCCCCGTCCCTCCGCGGCCCCCCGCGTCCCCGTCCCGCGTCGGCGAGGTGTAGAGGAGAAGTCCGCGGCACGGCGGCGTGGCCGAGGCGTTGCTCACCTGCGGGTCGGCGAAGAACTCGTACTTGCGGTAGTCCTTCCGAAACACGAAGCGCCGATCCGAGTACTTGCAGAAGCTCTGCATGTCTCGGTGCACCGACAGCACATCCTCGTGGTCCTCCAGGCTCCGCTCTGCAACAACAGGAAACATGAGTCATGGTGCAACAAAAACAAGAAACATGAGTCTCGGTACAACAACAACAGCAAACGTGTGTCTCGATGCAACTACAACAACAAACGTGTGTCTCGATGCAACAACAACAAACATGAGTCTCAACAACAACAACAACAACAACAAACATGAGTCTCGATGCAACAACAACAGCAAACATGTGTCTCGATGCAACAACAACAAACATGAGTCTCCATGCAACAACTAGAGACATGAGTCTCGATACAACAACAAGAAACATGAGTCTCGATGCAACAACAACAAACATGAGTCTCGATGCAACAACAAGAAACATGAGTCTCGGTGCAACGACAACAACAATTACAACAACAACAACAACCAGAAGTCTCGGTCTCGGTGCGCCAAAAGCACGTCCTCGTGGTCCTCTACAACAACAAACATGAGTTGAACGACCTCCTGGCCGGCCGCGCCACGCGGCCGTGCCCAAAAATGTGAGTCACTCTGCGCGCTAAACATGAGTCAGTCGTGTTGTTGCTGGACCCAGGGCAGTCTGATTCCGGACAGTGGTGTCGTCACTCTAAAGCAGTGCGACAGAAACAGACCAACAACGGCGGCATCGTTCAGAATCGGCCTGCTGGTCCCTGCTTGCACAAGACACGTCTCTTACTCTGTCAGTCTGTCTCTCTTTCTCTCTTACAAGCGCGCTTTTAGCGGCGTTGCCAAGGCGTTGCGCAGCTCGCGGCTCACGCGTGTGCGACCGCCGGCCCGACTGGCCCGCGACTGGGGCGATAAAATTCATGACCCACCGATACCATTTTTAGGACCGCGCCGACAAACTGCACCCTCCATTTGCATGGCGGGGCCCGCCGCCGCTTTTTCCACCAACACGAAAAAAAACAACAAAAAAACAAAAACAAACGTCAGTCAGAAGTCACGCGTCAAAACCAGACAGACAGATACGTAGCGCCCGGCGGATGTCTCCTTGCTCATTTGCATGCCGAGGTTTCCGCGGCGGACGTCCGTCGCTCCGTCTCCCTCGCACCGCTGCGGGGCTCCCCGTGAGAGCGACGAAGAGACCGCCGTTTCGGAGGCAGCCTGCTGCGTGAGAAGATCGATCCTCGGGCAACGCCACCCGTCCACATAACACGTGACGGGCGGGGCGCAAAGGCGGACGTTTATCGGTGCGTTTCTCCTCGATCGTCAGGGAAATGCGTTGCAGGCCGGCTGGCTGGCTGCATGGCTGGCTGCCTGGCCGGCTGCCTGGCTACCAGGTTGGCTGATTTGCTACTAGGTTGGCTGATTTGCTACTAGGTTAGGTTGGCTCATTTGCTACTTAGCTGATTTGCTACTAGGTTGGCTGATTTGCTACTAGGTTGGCTGATTTGCTCCTAGGTTGGCTGATTTGCTACTTGGTTGGCTGATTTGCTCCTAGGTTGGCTGATTTGCTCCTAGGTTGGCTGATTTGCTACTTGGTTGGCTGATTTGCTCCTAGGTTGGCTGGTTTGCTACTAGGTTGGCTGATTTGCTACTAAGTTGGCTGATTTACTACTTAGCTGATTTGCCACTAGGTTGGCTGATTTGCTACTAGATTGGCTGATTTGCTACTAGGTTAGGTTGGCTGATTTGCTACTAGGTTAGGTTGGCTGATTTGCTACTAGGTTGGCTACCCGTCTAGCTGCGCGGCTAGCTGCCTCGTTACCAGGTTGGCTCCCTGGTAGCCAGCCGGCTGGCTGCCTGGCTGGCTGCCTGACTGGCTGTCTGACTGGCTGTCTGGCCGACTGGCTCGCGTCGTGGTGGCGTGGCGTGCTTGTTTTCAGGAGGACCGAATTTAATTTCCGTGCAGCGCTCGCTGTGCCCTCCCCGCGGAACCGCATTTTTATTGAGCCACTTAGACTCACGCGAAAAGCCACTCCGCAGAGGGGCCGCCGCGCTTGGCGCCGCGTGTATCGAACAGCGCGCCGCCAAAAAGGGGCAAAGCGAGGGAAATGAGGCCGTGCGGACGCCGCACAGTGGGCCAGAAGACCGGTGGAGGCGGCCGAAATCCCAGACGCGTTTAGAGCCCCAGAGTCGCTAAATTGGACTCGAACCGAACGTGTAACCCCACAAATGAATTTACTTTCCGTAGGAGGAATCCATTGATGGGGTCACACGTCTGGTTTGAGTCCCATTTGGCGACTCTGGAGCTCAAAACGCGTCCGGTGTTTTGACCGCCTCCATCGGTCTTCTGGCCCACTGTGCGTTTTGGATTTGAGGTGAGGCCATGCACGCCTCTTTGGTGCGGGAGAGGCAGGGCGACGAAAACGACTCTCAGTCTGCGGCAGCATCGGCGCAGTGCCAATTACGCGCTGAAAGAAAGCGGGGTCGGCGTGTCGCTTGCATCACCGGCACGGCACGGCACGGCATGGCACGGCATGGCACGGCACAGGCCTCCTCCGCTATTCCCGGAGATGCCGGCGCTGATCTTGAAAAATGTCACTGCGGAAGTGGCTCTGCCAAGAACCCGCCGTGCCGGGCACATCAGCCGGGCCATCAGCAGGGGAACAAGCGGAAGAAGAAGAAGAAGAAGAAGAAGAAGAAGAAGAAGAAGAAGAAGAAGAAGAAGAAGAAGAAGAAGAAGGAGAAGAAGAAGAAACAAAGAAAAACCAAAAAAGAACAAAAAGAAAAAAAAGAACACACTGCAAGTCCAAGTGTAGGCCAGGTCGACACTTTAAGGCGTAGACCAGTTTGTCCTACGCTTGCAAGTGTCGACCGTCTGTGTCCGACGCTTTAAAGTGTCGACCACACTGTGTCCGACGGCTGCATGTGTAGGACACTTTTTGTCCTACGGCAAATTACACTGAGTTTCCTATTGTGGCCCCACACTTCAGCCGTCGGACATGCTGTGGTCGACACTTGCAGGCGTCAGACACTGTGTGGTCGACTCTTCAAAGCGTCGGACACAACTGGTCGACACTTGCAAGCGTAGGACAAACTGGTCTACGCCTTAAAGTGTCGACCTGTCCTACACTTGGATTTGCAGTGCAAGAAGAACAAGAAGTACAAAAAGAACAAGAAGAAGAAGAGGTGAAGAGGACGAAACAAGCAGAGAGAAAAGTAAAGAAAGAAATGTAGAAAGAGTGGGTCCAAAGGAAGAGAACAACCCGGGGATCGAGAAGAGAGAGGTGTGGGTGGAGGAAGACCGAGGGATACAAGACAGGAGTAGGTCCCGGCGGGGGAAGCAACTTGGGGGTGCAGCGAGGGGGGGGGGGGACGGGCCGGACGGTGGAGGAATGGACAACCACGTGAGAGCGTACGTGTAAAGACAGTCAAGAGATAAAGCCCGTGGGGCGAGAGCCAAAGGCAAGCCAGCAGACCGAGAGTCGTTTCGGTCGCTCTGTCTCTCTCGCACCAACGTAGAAATGCCCTACGAGAGTGCGAGAGAGACAGAGCGACGAACACGACGTCTCTCGGAATCGGTCGCTGCAGAGGCGCCAAAGGCCGGCAAGACTGCGGCAAACTGACTAATGACAGATGGGCCGGTCCGATAACTTGTGAATGATGACCACGCCGCGCCTCGACGCTACAGCGAAGCACAGCGAAGCAGCTTCCCACGTGCCTATTCCCCATCACACACACACACCACACACACACACACACACAGAGAGAGAGAGAGAGAGAGAGAGAGAGAGAGAGAGAGAGAGAGAGAGAGAGAGAGAGAGAGAGAGAGAGAGAGAGAGAGAGAAGAGACAGTCGCTTCGCGTCCCATTCATTCGAGAGCCCGCTGCTTCAGCCATTCATTGAGCCAGCCACTCATTCGGCAACGGATATCTGGTCTCGGATGACGTGCGTGACACACTTATTACAAGCCGACACCTGTAAGGAAAAGGCACGCAGTAGCGGCCGCGCGATCCAAAAGGCGCTCAGTTACGGCCCTGCGATCTGAAAGGCACGCAGTATGCCGCGCGCGATCCAAAAGGCACTCAGTTTGCCCCGCGCGATCCAAAAGACACGCAGTTTACCGGCCGCCAGCGGTAAACTGCGTGTCTTTTGGATCGCGCGGGGCAAACTGAGTGCCTTTTGGATCGCGCGCTGCAAACTGCGTGCCTTTCAGATCGCAGGGCCGCAACTGAGCGCCTTTTGGATCGCGCGGCCGCTACTGCGTGCCTTTTCCTTACAGGTGTCGAAGCGAGCTTCCTTCCGTGCGTCCGCGTCATGTCTGTCCGTCCGTCTGTTTGTCCGCCTGCCAGCCGGTCCGTCGCAGTGTCTCTGCGTGTCGAAAAGCGAAACGGCAGCCGCAGGGCCCCGCCAAGATGTGGGCCAGGCTGTGCTAATGGCGTGCGTGCTGCAGACTGAGCACTGCTCAGTGTCTCTCTCGCACCCATGGGGCGTCCCGTAGGGGTGCGAGAGAGACAGACAAGACGAAAGCCGTACTCGGAATCAGTCTGCAGCAGTACTGCCGCGCGGGGCGTTGAGGGGCGCGAATCGCCGCGAGCGTTCGTTATTGTTGCGATCCAGCGGGCTGAGCACCGCTCTCGTCGATCTCTCTCTCTCTCTCTCTCTCTCTCTCTCTCTCTCTCTCTCTCTCTCTCTCTCTCTCTCTCTCTCCCTCTCTCATCCTTACGAGAAGCCCCGTGAGTGCGAGAGAGACAAAAGCAGAGCTCGGAATCAGCCAGCTTGGCCAGGGCGGCGCGGTAGGGACTTCCCTATAGGTACATCAAACGGCACAAATGAAAATACAAAAGCGGCGAATGCGACCGGATCAAAAAGAGACGCGGAAACCACCACCACCACCAGAAACAGAACAACGCAAATAAAGATTAACCCCGCACCAGATCGGCGCACCTGTTAGAACCAAACCGCGGAATTCGACGAGTCAGAGGCATAGCTTCCGTTCCGACCGCCTCGCAGCACAAGGCCGCGGCCCACAGTAAGGGAGCCAATCAACGCGAAAAACGCAAAAAGCTCCACAAAACCACCACAGCAATAAAATGCCGGGAGCGTACACAGGGAGGGCGGGCAACACCACCCAAAATTTTCTGGAAAGACCGCGGCGGTCAAAATCTCGGACGGCCCAGGAGCGATAAATGGGGCTCGAAACCGAACGTGTGACCCCACCAATGGATTGCTCTCCGAATGAGGCATCCTTTGGTGGGGTCACACGCTCGGTTCGAGTCCTGCTTGGCGACTCTGAAGACTAAAACGTGTCTTAGAGTTTCGGCCGCCAGCGTCGGTCTTCTGGACCACTACGCGCTTCATAGGGCCTCTACGGTCTCGTCTACATCATGGTGCATCTACCGGTGTCCATGAAATTCTGCGCCCTTCCCCCCCGCACTGCACTGCCCGCGCTGCCTCCCTCGACACATACAGGAGGAGATATCCTGAAAATGCGAAAGCAACCTGCAATCGCCGCGAAAACAAAGGAAGGGTCCAAACGGCCGCAGCGCGTCAAGGCCACACGCCACACGCGCTCTGCAATGCAACGCTCTCTCTCTCTCTCTCTCTCTCTCTCTCTCTCTCTCTCTGTGCCTCTCTCTCTCTCTCTCTCTCTCTCTCTCTCTCTCTCTCTCTCTCTCTCTCTGTGCCTCTCTCTCTCTCTGTGTGCCTCTCTCTCTCTCTCTCTCTCTCTCTCTCTCTCTCTCTCTCTCTCTCTCTCTCTCTCTCTCTCTCTCTCTCTCTGTCGAACTCACCGAGGCCCTGCTCCGGCCAGTGCTCGAACAGCGTCCAGTGCACGTCCTTGGCCACGCGGTTCTTGACGGCCAGCACGGAGCACAGGTCGGCCGAGCGCAGGTTGCGCTCCACGAGCACGGACTGCGCGGCGTGCGGGGAGCCGTCATCGTTGTAGAACAGCAGCTCCTCCTAAAAAGACAGAGGAAACAAAAAAAAAATTAAAAACAAATTGAAATGAAAAGTTTGCCATCGACGTCAAGCGCTCGGCCTCTCGATATACGACGGTGCCGTAAAGTCGAAAAGCTTCCAGATTAACTCCTTTAAGTGCAACACTGTGATCGCTATACGATAAGGTGGAAACGCAGTATGCATAGTAGTCCATGGAGCGACTCGTTCATAAAACGGCCCACTCCCACCTCCACTTCCTGTCCCTCCCAGCGACCCTTTCACACACACACACACACACACACACACACACACACACACACACACACACACACACACACACACACACACACAGTGGCACACACACACTGACACACATACTCTCTCTTCTGACTCATCTCTCTCCTCTTTCTCTTCCTCCCTCTCCTCTCTCTCCCTTTCTTCACCCTCACACACACACGCCAACTTTGTCTTTGCCCCGACCCTCGCAATAACAGGCTCCACGGCGACGCATCAAACAAGACAGCGCGCTCGCAGCGCTCCCCGAAGCGGCGCGGCCGTTGCCGCGGCTTTGCACCGGGTTTGCACTCCGGGCCCGGGGCGCCGGCTCTAAGCACAGGGTGGCCAACCCATTCATTGCGCGGCACACGCCATTTCTATCAGCCCCTTTGCCGCTGCGCGGCTGCGGCGATCGAACACGCGGCCATCCGAAGCCAAAGCAGTGGCGGCCGCGCATCAGCCCCCCCCCCTACCGAACATGTATCGGCGTGACATCGTCGGGGCATGAATGGAACGTCACGCCAAAAAGAAAAAAACGGCATGACAAGATAATTCATGCTAGAACACCGGCAAGGCCAAGGGCAAGGCTCGAAATGTCACGCTAATTTCAAACGTGACTTACCTGTCACACCTATTTGTGACTTTTCCAACGCACATCAAGCAAAACTCCAAGGGTCAAGTCATGCCGGATAACGAGGCGACTCACATGCACATGTCGTGCTCGTTTTCTGCTTGACTTTGTCGCGCCAATTTTTGGGCTGACCTCTTCACATGTCTTTTTTGGGTCGTTGTTACGTCATATTTATAGGTCTAATTTTTTTATTGCTATGCTAATTTTTTTGGCGTGACTCTTCGTACCACAATCTGGCGCGACTATTTCACTGATTTTCTACGTGTAATAATGAACTAATTAAAACAGCAATAAAATTTTTATTGCATTAGTAGCGCCATGAAAAAGTTATTGCATTATAAGTGCAATAATAGTTATATTGCATCAGCGCATTTATCGCATTATAAGCGTAGTTATCATTTTATCACACGAAAACTGTGATAATCTGGCCCCAGACCGGCCAAAACCTGAGGGACTTACTGCATTTTAGTGCGATAATTTTTTATTGCTGGCACAGATGCGATAATTTGAAGGAATCACACTAGCCTTTTTATCGCATCAAAATGTATGAAACTTATCACATTGGAAATACCAGTGTAATTGTCCTGCCTTTTTTGTAGTGACAGTTTTGTCGTGCCGTTTCTTTGGCACAGCGTACTGTTGTGCCACTTTTTCGACGTGACTTTTTTGCCAAAATTGAACAGTGTGTACGACCGTTTCGTCTAGCGCCCCCTTTCTTCCCTCACTTCCCGGAATTTCAGCCCCGATAAACAAGTTCCTCGACCGGCGCGGAATGGAGCGGCGCGGCGCGTGCGCCGAGATAAGGCGTCAGAAATGCAGTCGTCCGCAGTGGCAGCATCAGCGGCGCGGCCGGCCGGTCAGGCACCGGGCAAGCGGACAGACAGACAGGCAGACAGACAGGCGGGCGGACGCGACGGGCAGACGTCGGCGGTCCCCATTCATGCCAAAACGAAACGCGGCACTCGGCGCCACGCGGCGCGCCAGCGAGGAATGCAGGCCGGCCGCTAGAGAGCGACCCCGACCCGGGCCGAGGGCACAGTCAACGTCACCGGCCACACCAACGCCAGATTTCCCACACGCACGCGCACTAAAAAAATAACAACAAAAACAACAACTTGCAAGGAATTTTCTTGAACAAGTAACAAAGAAAACCAGAGTTTAGTTCCGTATATGACACATAATTTTTTCCTGAAATGTAGCGAGAAAGGGGAGGGGGGCTATTATCCTCCAGAGAAATTATTTCGAGAGTCTACAAAAAATTTTTAGTCGCAGACTTGCGAGGGATATTTATTCGTAAACTTGCGAAGAACTTACCTCACCCCGCAAGACTTTTGAACTACAGCGCCTGGTGGGCACCACACACAATTACGTTGTTTGTATGATGTATGCTCAAAATACTTCGCAAGGTTTTAAGCGTGCACAGACTAAATATTTATGTAGAATTTTGTACGTGTTACTTGCAGGAGTTTGAGGAATTTGCTTAATAAAAGCGTAAAAATGCATGAATTTACGCAAATTTGAGGGCTTTAAGCAAAACGTTCACAGGTTTAACCACGAAATAAATTGTCCGAAATTGTCCGTCAAAGCTTAGCGTGGCAGGCATGTACATCGTCCGAGGAGGCTGTCTCCAGTTGGTGCGTCAATTTCGAAAGCCTCTGCCGTGGGACGCGTTCCGCACTCAGTCGGTCCCTGCGTCGCGACGCGTCGCCGGCGGGGAAGCCACTCCTCACGGCGATAGCGACGCGTACCGCCGCCCCGTGGCGCGAGCCAGGAAGTCGTCCCTCAGCCGCACGGAGTACGGAGCGCCTGTGTGGCGGGCTGTCCCGTCGAGCACGCGTGCGGCCGTGGTGCCTACCTCGCAGGCGCCTAGGCCGGGGGAGAGGTAGGCAGTCCCGTCGAGCGCGCGAGCAGGGGTCGGGTCTACCTCGCAGGCGCTACACTCCGAAAGTCTTACGCAGAAGTCTTAACTCAAGCCCAATTTAAACACAGAATTTCGCCAAAAAATTGAAATTTACAGAGGTCCATTCAAATTTATCAAAATTTGTCACAAAATTCAAAAGCTTTGGCTCAAAATTCAAAGAAATTTAACTGATTTCAACACAGAAATTCGGAGTAATTTCCTAGTCTTACTCTGAATATTCTCCATATTCACTCAAAAAACACTGGTAAAAGTAAAGCATAGTATTACCCTCTGTTTTCAAGCGTACTCAGTTTACGCTTGAAACCATGCGTAACAGGCTAACCCGCTAAGATTTCCCCATATGGAGGAGTTCCTAGAGTGCACTGGTAAAACAAAGGCATAAAAATTACGCCCTTAAGGGCACAAATACTCTTTTACGCCCTTGCAAGGGCATAAATCGTTAATGCCGTTGGGAAGGGCGTAAATGGTATAGGAATTTCAAGCAAAATTTTAATGCCCTTCCCAAAGGCATTAACGATTTATGCCCTTTAAGGGCGTAAATTGTTTACGCCCTTTAAGGGCATAATTTTAATGCCTTTCTTTTACCAGTGTGGGCTTCGTTTCAAGCGTGACGTCTTCAAGCGCAACTTTATGATTGACTCAAGCATAGAGTTACGCTTTAGTTTTACTAGTGAAGTTATCTGCTTTGTGACTCCACAGTGCATGTATCGGCCATTGCAAGCAGCTACGAACATCGCAACCTGTCTCACTCACTCACCTGCTTCTCGGTGCTGCAGTCCTTGTCCTGCTCCTCGGCGACCTCGCTCAGGGGCTCGTACCCGGCCAGGGTGCCGGCGAGCGCGGCCAGCCCGGGACTCAGGCTCAGGCCCTGGCTGAAGCCCTGGCTCAGGCTGTGGCTCAGGCTATGGCTGAGGGTGGCGCCCGCCTCCGCGTACGCGCATTTCAGCTTGTGCAGGCTCCGGCCCGGCACGCAGCCTGCAACACACAGACACACGCGGTCAGTCAACGATGGACAGAAAAACAGCCCAGTCAGACTCTCGCACCGACACTGTAACGTGCTACACTACAAACCTAACTGTCTACTAAGTACATACTTACAAATGCGTGCTTGCAAGTACACACTTACAAACGCATGCTTGGCCAAGTACACACTTGCAAATGCATGCTTGCAAGTACACACTTACAAACGCATGCTTGACGCATGGAGTTATACGGCGTCAAGCATGCGTTTGTAAGTGTGTACTTGCAAGCATGCATTTGCAAGTGTGTACTTGGCCAAGCATGCATTTGCAAGTGCGTACTTGCAAGCACGCATTTGTAAGTGTGTACTTAGTAGACAGTTAGGTTTGCAGTGTACTGGGGTGTTAGGAGGTCTCCTCGTCGAGAGACACTATTCTCGTTTGATTAACGCACGGTATGCTTGAACCAAGGATCTAACTCGTCAGCTGCTTTGGAACCGTGAGAGGGAATGTCTTCGCAGTTCGAAAGAGTTCTTTTGGCATTCCTGATGTATTTGTCACCAATTGCAAAATCCTTCACAAGGTTTAAGAAGTGCAGAGGCGAGACCCAATAGCCCGTGCTACAACAAAATCCGTAGTTTGAAACGGAAAGTGTACCGGAAGCCTGTGGACAACATTCGTCGTTGGGACGGTATGGACAGTCAACGAAAATAATCGAACAGACAAAAGTTCCGTACTTTCTGTAATTTCTTTTTCAAACGGTGTGAAGATTTTGGTTTGCACTTAATGACAATAATTTCAAGGCTTAATTTTCTTTACAATGACGACGACGTCATCAAACTGCGCATAACTGTTACTTTGTTACGACATTTTATCATTTGCAAGAGATGAAAATGCCATCCAAGATTTCATCGAAAATGATAGCAAAATTTTAAACAGTGTAGAGACGAACACGGTGAACCTCATGGAGGTGCGCATTGTTTCACTCTAAATGTTTTTGTACAAATTTTGTACGAGACATCACAGTTTTTTGTGCACATGAACTTTTCATCCAAATTTGTATAATATTTTGTACAATTTTGTACAAAAATGGCGAAAGTTGCAGTTTTTCGTACGAAAATTGTGCGAAAATTTCGTGAGCTCAAAAAACTGCGATGTCTCGTACAAAATCGTACTACAGAACATTCAGTGGGTTTGAATTTCGTGGAGGCGCGCGTCGCTTTCTGACAGTGCCAGTCCGTTACAGGACGGCGCGTGGCTAACAAGGACACGCCGCATCACAACGACACGACACAAAGGACGACTTGGCCGCGAACCACCGTCGCGTCACACTTCCAAATGACACTGAGGAGGATTGCGACAGGAATCGGTACCGCGGCAGTGTGTCATATATCTATGGATCGACCGCTTTGGTCCATTCTTCCATTACCCCTCCTCATTCATTCATCCCGTGCTGCTCACGCGCACGCACTCATGCGTACGTGTGGACACATACACACACACACACACACACACACACACACACACACACACCACACACACACACAGCCACTAGTACTCTGCAGTACGCAGGCATCGTAAACAACTCATCCGTCATTACGACTGAAATTGCGACGCAATCTCGACTCTGTGCGAGTGTGTGTGAGAGGTGTGTGTGTGTGTGTGTGTGTGTGTGTGTGTGTGTGTGTGTGTGTGTCGCATGACGGGGCGGCGGAAACACGCGATGCGATGCTACACACGGGAAGTTGCGCCGCTGCGCCACCATTTTGTGTGACGCTGAAAATATGTTTACGACTCATTTCCTCCGCTTTGAAAAAGGATTAAACCGATTGCCGCCAGTTGGTCGCGCGCATTAAAAAATCGTCGGACCATTCATCTGTTTCGCGTGGGTGGCAAAGTTCTTGTCACGCCTCGCGAAAAAAAAAAAACAGCAACAACTTTAATTTTGTTTCTACACCGCTGTGACGATGAGCAATAAATGGATGCCTCACGTTGCAACCACTCTGGTAGAATGTACATGGCTGATGTTGAAAAGAGTCAACGTGGATGAAGACGCTAGGTGGCCGTGGCCTCTAGTTACCGTCTACCTTGCATAGTCGTAGGCAGGCTGGAGAAAAGAGTGTACATGGCAAGTACTCTCTAAAGCGCCAGGTGTTATGTGGCAGAGACTGGCAGGAAATTTGACAGTTCTTCCCACGTCAACACTTTCACAGCATGCCCGCTGTCACCTAGTGACAGAATAGCATCAACCTTCAGGTTAGCTCGTTTAAAATTCAACCAAGGTCACTCTTCAGTTTCAAGTGCAATCACGCAGTTCCTGTTCTCTTCATCGTTTCCTCCACACGGTTCGTGCACCGCGTCAAAAGCTGCATCAGCCCACACAGCCCTGAGCTGTCCCATTGAACAACAAACCTATTTTCGCCTGTCCGTACATCCATCCATCCGTCCGTCTGTCTGTTTGTTTACAAACAAGTTTCGGGTTTCGTTCCACCCACGGCCTTCTCGGCGGCGGCGTTAGAAAGGTAAGGTGCGATAGGACACAAGGATCTAAGCAATCGCGCGCGCGCACACACACACACAGCACGCCTTACCGTGTGAGTGAGTGTGTGTGTTAGTGGAAGAAAAAGAGGTGTGCGAGAGAGGGATAGCATGAGAATGAGAAGGAAGGAAAAGAAAGATCTCTCTCTCTCTCTCTCTCTCTCTCTCTCTCTCTCTCTCTCTCTCTCTGTGTGTGTGTGTTTCTTTTTCTCTATTCCTCTCTCTCTTCGTGTGTGTGTGTGTGCGTGTGCGCATGTGTGTGTGTGTATGTGTATGTGTATGTGTATGTGTGTGTGTGTGTGTGTGTGTGTGTATGTGTATGTGTGTGTATGTATATGTGTGTGTGTGTGTGTGTGTGTGTATGTGTATGTGTATGTGTGTGTGTGTGTGTGTGTGTATGTGTATGTGTATGTGTGTGTATGTGTGTGTGTGTGTGCGCGCGCGCGCTGCACCGCGCGTGCGACGCACAAACAGACTGTCGGCGCCTGGCGGCACTGCCTGGCTGCCTCGCTGCCTGGCTGCCTCGCTGCCTCGCGGCACGCCGCGCCGTGACCGGCCAGAGTGGCTCGACTTGCCCGGCGCGGTAAATCACACGCACCCTATCACGGTCCAGTCAGTCCATTCACCTCGCTGCGTGCGTCGTCGCGGCGCGGCGGGTCGCGGCGTACTGCGTATGTTTGTCGTGACACATTGCGCCAGCCACGCCCAAAATAGCGTGACCGCCGCGCCGCCCAGAGAGAGCCAGACGACGACACTGGCCGGACAGGAAGGACTCTGGACACGATTTGGGATTCACGGCGTTCGCCGAGAAAAGGGCTCGAATCGGGGAGCGGTGTGGGTTGCACCCTGCACACTTAATGTTTTTGTACACATTTTGTACGAGTCATCACAGTTTTAAAAACGAACTGTTTGTACAAATTTGTACAAAATTTTGTACAATTTGTACCAAAAAGGGCAGTTTTTCGTGAGAAGATTGTGCAATAATTTCGTGTGCACAAAAAACTGTGATGTCTCGTACAAAATTGTACATTACATTGTGCAGTCGCACCGCAAGGTGAACATTCCGGCCCAGAAGGGTCCGAGGTTGAGGGGGCCCGTGGGCCGTCCAGATCTCCAGCCGAAGAGTCACTCTGTCGCTCTGTCTCTCTCGCACCCGTCAAGGCGGCACACGAGCGCAACAGAGACAGAGCGACGAAAAAGACTCCGTTAGTCGCGGGAGCGCGTGGGGGAAAAACCAACCCCGACCCCGGCAGCAAATATCGGGTAAAACCGGGGCGGCGGCTACCCAAGGACCAATGGCCAGCCAGCAGACTGATTCCGAGACTCGTTTTCGTGGCTCTGTCTCTCTCGCACCGATACGGGATTGTAGAGAGGCTCTGCCGCTCTACATTGTGTTTTGAATTGCGCGCCCCCGCTTCGGCACCCCCGGAGCTGGCGCGCGCAGCGGCCTGCCGAAGTCCAGCCGAACGTCTAGGATTCCTGGAATCTGGAGCCTTCGCCTCGGCAGCGCCCGGCGGACGCGCACCCTGTCGCAGCCGACGTTCTGCCGCGTAGGATAAATTGAGGGTGCACGGTCCAGCCAGACACACTCCGTGTCCGAACTAGCAGGGCGAAGCTCTGTCCGGCGACCCAGCAAACTCGTGAGCAAAAGTAAGCAAACCATTGTAACTGTGCGTGGGGAAACCCCCTATCTTCTGGAATAGAGAAAATTTCAATGAAGGTCGGTCACGTCGGAGGAGTACTCACTGTTATGGTGGTATTTTCTCTATTCCAGAAGATAGGGGGTTTCCCCACGCACAGTTACAATGGTTTGCTTACTTTTGCTCACGAGTTTGCTGGGTCGCCGGACAGAGCTTCGCCCTGCTAGTTCGGACACGGAGTGTGTCTGGCTGGACCGTGCACCCTCAATTTATCCTACGCGGCAGAACGTCGGCTGCGACAGGGTGCGCGTCCGCCGGGCGAGCCGAAGGCTCCAGATTCCAGGAATCCTAGACCTTCGCCTGGACTTCGGCAGGCCGCTGCGCGCGCCAGCTCCGGGGGTGCCGAAGCGGGGGCGCGCAATTCAAAACACAATGTAGAGCGGCAGAGCCTCTCTACAGGGATGCCCCATGAGTGCGAGAGAGACAGAGCGACGAAAAGGGCTCTCGGAATCAGTGTGCAGGTCCGGCGAGTGTCCTTAACTCGGACAGAGGGCCGGGAAGTGGCCCTATTCGTCCGAGCAGACAGACAGACGTCCGAGCAGACAGACATACAGACAGACAGACAGGAAGACGGAGAAGGGTTAGACAAGCGGGAAGAAAGGGGATGCGTGGGGGTTCGGCGAGGGGAGGAGGAAAGGTGGGGGTGAGAGTAAGGACCCGGAATGACGTCAGCATGCGTCAGCGCGGGATTCCCGCCACGGAGTGCGACAAGAAAAAGGGGGGGGGGGGGGGGGGGGGGGGGGCACAGGCCCACGCACACGCATCGCGCCATTCCCTGCGTAAACAAATCATTTTCAGGCGGCAAAACAAAGCCCCAAACACACAACACACGCCGCGCAGCGCCGATTCCCGTACGATTTTCCTAATCCAGTTTTCCTAATCCGATTTTCCTAATGTACTCTTTTCCGAATGGATACTTTTCCTAAGTCATTTTTCCTAAATCTCGAATTTCCTACGATTTCCTAAATGTTCCTAATAATGTCAGGCATAAAGTTACGCTTGAAGACGTTACGCTTGAAATGAAGCATACTCTGGAAATTCCTTCATGCAGTTATATTGGCGGAATCCTGGTGGATGAGCCTGTAATACTACGCTTCAGTTTTACCAGTGAACCTTCCAAGAATGCCCTGAATTTTTGTACAAATTTTTACCATCCCTAGAGTGGTTACCCGTGTCAATCAAAACGGCGAAGAGCATCAAATGGCTGTCCCCTTTGCGTTTGCTCTTCTTCCCTCAAAGCGTGAGGTTCACTAAGTAAGAGTTGTGGGGTCCGTTCTAGACTTCGTCCGGGCGTAGAACATTCCTTTCAATGATCCTGAACGTTCAATGTCAGACTTCGAAATGAGAACTCTCAATGCTGCCTGAAAGGCCACGCCTGGGGTTGATGTGCGATGCTGTTTGTTTCAACAGGAACAGAGCACATACCAAAAGGTACGCAAAGAAAACTGATAAACAACCAAAATGTACTCAAAATACTTCAGGTCCAGGAGGTTGGGTTGCAGCAACAATAAAACGACCAGGTAGACGCCAAATTAAAGGCGATATTCTGCTGTATTCCATTTTAGGAAAAAAAGCCTTAGGAAAATCGTCCTTAGGAAACACGGATTAGGAAAATTTGCTTTAGGAAGATTGTCTTTAGGAAAAATACACATTAGGAAAAACGGTTTAGGAAAACTGGGCGGGCCCGCACGGCCCCACACGGCCCGCGCAAAGCAGCCCCGAAGGGCAACCCGGAAATAAGGTGCGGGATGAGAGGGGCGAAAACGGGCGGGGACAGAGCGGGGGAGGGGGGGAGGAATTGTCGGGGAGTTGGGTGGCAAGAGGAAAATTGCGAGGGAGGGGTGGGGGAAAGGGGAGATGTTGTCGGGGAGTTGAGGGCAAGGGGGAGAGAGTGGAGGGGATTGTTGTCGGGTGGAAGGAGGCAAGGGGAAAGGTAGGTCCTGACCGGCGTGTGTGCTGAGCAGACAGGTACGTAGTCGGTGCGGCCGAGGCGGTGCACCTGGTGAAAAGGCTGCGTGTGTCGAATTTCCTGCGGAGCTTTCCAGGCAAGCTAGCTCTCACAAAGCCAGCCAGCTACACACTAAATGTTATGTACAATTTTGTACGAGACATCACAGTTTTTTGAGCACACGAAATTTTCGTACAATATTTGTACGAAAAAACTGCACATATTTCCCCACTATTGTACGAAATTGCGTTCAAATTTGTACGAAAAGTCTATGTGAACATAGAACTGTGATGTCTCGTACAAAATTTGTGCAAAAACATTTCGGGTGTAGCTAGCGCGAGTAGCGCGCCTGCCCGCCGGCATGTTTCTCCCCTTTGAACATCGCTGATATCCTTGTGCACTTCGAGTTCCACTCCTCCCTTCCATTTAATCAATTGTGTACTAGTTAACAGTGCTAGTGCCGCCTGCATTTGGGATTTACAGGACTACGTTTGTTCTAGTTGCTTTGCTTACTCCAACGCTTAGAGCCAGCTGAGGCCTAAACAGCGGGCCCAAAGTTGGCCCCGTTCTGTCTGTCTCTCACGGCGCAGTGTGTCAGACACAGTGCGGCACCGTGGCGCCACACAGTGGGCCAGAAGACTGGTGGAGGCGGTCGAAATCCCGGACGCGCGTTTCGAGCTCCGGAGTATCGCACAGTGGGACGCGAATCGAACGTGTGACCCCACCATTGGATTCCTCGTTCGGAAAGCAATCCATTGGTGAGGTCACACGTTCGGTTCGAGTCCCGTTTAGCGACTCTGGAGCTCAAAACGCGTCTAGCGTTTCGGCCGCCTCCACCGGTCTTCTGGCCCACTGTGCGCCGCCGCGTCGCGCCGCGTGGCCCCTCTGCGCCAAACGAGGCGATCCGGTCGAGGTCAAAGGGCGCCGCGCCGCGCCAGGCTCTGGGCGGCCCTTGGTCGCCTCACACGGCCCCACGGCCCTTCGCCGCGACCAAGGCGGAGCCCCTCCGGGGGACAGGTGCCGCACGAAGACCCCCGCGGGTCACGAACGGCCAGACACGACAGCACGCACGCCACTACAATGCACGCACGCTCACACACACACACACACACACACACACACACACACACACACACACACACACACACACACACACACACACACACACACACACACACACACACACACAGGCGCATAGCCAAAGGAAACAGGAAACAGGCCGGGACGCACTGGTGCCCTGTGCAAAGGAGCCCCAGCTGGTCGATGGTGGAAATTTTGTGCCTCCTGACGCAGATTGATCGTCCCGTGTCGTAGCGAAGCGAGGCAAGGAAAGCCCTGCGCCGCGCGCTGCGCCAATGCGAAGGCAAGGCCGCCTTACAGTGTCCACTCGCCCTCAGCGGCCTTGGCGGAGGCTGTCAACAACCCTTCCGGTACACTTTCACTGCCGCATCCCCGAAAGCGGTTGGCGCACAGTGGGCCAGGGGACCGGTGGAGGCGGTCAAAATCCCGGACGCGTTTTGAGCTCCAGAGTCGCTAAAAGGGACTCGGAACCGAACGTCTGACCCCACCAGTGGATTGCTCTCCGCACGAGGAATCCACTGGCAGGATCACGCGCTCGGTTCGAGACGTGTTTTGCGACTCTGGAGCTCAAACGCGTCCGGAGTTTTGGCCGCCGGCGCCGGTCTTCTGGCCCACTGTGCACTGTGAGCTGAACGGTATGAATGACTCTACTGCGCAGCTAGACCGTGACAGACGTCACCTCATCCCAAGTTCGCAACTGCGGTTCAAAACACGTCGCCAGAGACCTCGCTTCGCACACACCTGGCACCACGCGGAGCGACCTTGGCTTTCTGGCGCCTCGACCAGGTGCCGGTCTAACTGCCTCGCACTTTCTAGCACCGATAGACCGAGAAACATGCAGCAAATTTTTCATTGCCAGCAAAAGCTTGTGTTTTACCTGTACAAAATCATGCACCGCTTATCTGTGGGTAAGTTCGAGAAGAAAAGCACAGATTTAAGGTACATCCCCCTGTGGCCTTCAGTCAGTAGGCCCCTCGAGAAACGTATTGAATGGATTATCCACACTCAGAAGTTGCAAAAACTGATGAAGGGAAGCCCAAAAGTCAAAATATCATCTCCATAGGGGTGAATTTTTTTCACCCCGTTGCTTTCTGTCCCGATATGCCCCTGCTCAGCTCACATCAATGCTAGTGACCAGGAGAGAGGCAGGTGCGGGTTTTCTGCTCATCAGGAGTTACGCAACCCTTACATGGGAGAGGAGGAGCAACTAGCCCTTTCACCCCTTCCCCCCTCCAACCCGCTCCGCTCGCACACACGCCTCAACAAGTACCCCGCGCTCTCCGCGAGCTCCAAGAGCCTCGTACCGCACCTGCACTGCCAACAATTTGGCTCACGACACTGGTACATAGAAGACCGAATCCACCTTTGAGCTGTAGAGTCTAAATAAGACTCGAACCGAAAGTGTGACCCCCATCAATGGATTGCTCTCCGAACGAGGAATCCTTTGGTAGGCTTACACGCTCGGTTCCAGTCCTGCTTAGCAACTCTGGATAGCTCGAAACGCATCTCGAGTTTTGTCCGCCTGCCGGTCTTCTGGCCCACTGTGCGCGATAGCGCCGCACGGCACGGAAAAACATATCTTAGTTGTTACAGCTGAACATTCGTTGTGACAGCTAATGTGTTAGCTGATATGGCGCCAGCTAATGTTCTCAGCTACTGCAGTCATTATCTTAGCTATAAAACATAACCCTCATTGCCGTGGCTACAAATTTTAAATTAGCTAAGGCAGACAGTAGGAGGTTCAGCTATTAAAACCATGATGCTTTTGCTACCGCAGCTGATAGTGTTTGCCGTGAGAGCCACTCCCACGTTTGCTGATCCAGCGTGGGGTTCTTAGCTGAGACAACTAATCAGGTTAGCTGCACGCCGAGGGGGTAAACACTTCAAGAAATCGTGTACAGACTACTCGGTATTACGCTGTATTACGGAGGTATTACACGTGTATTACGGCCTTAAAATGCAAAAATTTGGCACATTTGACCCGAAAAAGGTATTACGACCACGTGTATTACGCGTAATACACGGTTTTTGTGTACAGGGTATTACGCGAGTGGATACCCCCTCGCTGCACGCACAAATCATGCAGTCCCTCGAAGCTTCACTTCAACTGCGATCAAAGTTGCTAAGTATTTTTTTCGGCCCTCCACCCGGAGTGGCATTGGGGCAGGCCATATGTCACATACATGTGCTTCCGTGGCTCAGTGCCTCTGAGCGAGATTCTCAGCCAGCAGTCCCGGGTTTGTAACTGAGGGATTAGCTGGCACAACAAATGTGGTTGGCTGTCGTGACCAGGCATGATTGCTGATGCTGCTGGCAATATTTTTAGTAACCACGACTGCTAATTCTTGGCTGGCCCGATATCAGCCAATGCATTAGCTGTCACAACTAAGGGATTTTTTTCCGTGGGTGTGCCGCCCGGCCCGGCTTGCGCACGGTGTGCCCGCTGCCCCCTCTTCCGTCAACATCAATCACTGCAGCGAGGCTTTTCGCGCCTTCCGCGTTCGGGGAGGCCGACGGGGAGGCCGACGGGGAGGCCGACGGGGAGGCCGACGGGGAGGCCGACGGGGCCGACGGGAGGCCGACGGGGCGGGGGGCCGCGGCCGGACTACCCCACGCGCCACTACGCGCCGCCAGTGGGCCAGTGGAGCGCCGCCTCGCCCTCGGACTGGCCGGCCCAGTGCCCCGGCCGGCCCCGGCGCCCCAGCCGGCCGGCAGACCGATTCCGAGAGGCGTTTTCGTCGCTCTGTCTCTCCCGCACCTTTACGGGACGCCCCGTGAGTGCGAGAGAGACTCGTCGTCTGCTGGCCAGGGTCCGGCGCGTCAAGGACCAAGGACCCCACCGAGGGCCGTGAGGAGCTAGTCCGGCCCCACAGTCATTAATTATCGAACCTGAGGGCTGGGTGTGTCGCGGGGGGAAAGGGGGGGGGGGGCAACAGTACACAGGGGCGCAACCAAAGAAGACCGAACGCAGGGGAGGGGCGGTCGCCCCGAGGAGGACAGGGCACAAAATAAATGATACATGAAGGCGGAGGGTGCGGCACCAGTGAAAATTATACGGCCGAGGCCCGCAGCACAGCGGCGC